TGTCTGTGACTATATTGTTTTTGCACATTACAATAAAGGATTTAGCAGTCAATTTCCAGGTTTCATTCTTCAATGAAACAACTAAAGCATGATTCGAGAATCTTTCAACAATTCTGAGGATCAATATCATTGTTATTTTGTTATCGACTGCAGACAGCCTCAGATCTGTTTTCTCATCTTTTCCTGGTCTGCTAAGATTCTGAAAATAGAACTTGATTACTAATTTACAGCCAATAATGTTAACACAATTTCCAACCTTTTAATGTTGTTTTACCATTTGATGAATACCTGAGTTTGGTTGATGGAGAATTGATGGAAAGGTTCTCAAAATTTGCATTAATTGTTGATCAACATGAACTGCAACTGACCCTAGACAATGAAAATTTTCTTTTTTCTTTTTTTGAGGAAATGGTGCCTAATTGTTCCATCTTGTTATAGTAAAGATTGGAAAATTGAAACAATCCTAAGGGGGATGCAAGCTTGAAGCCTAACCAACTAACCAAGTCTTCTCCATGGTACAATTGCATCATGTTTTTACCCTGTTTCTGAAGTAGCTACTGCAGGATCCTCATTACACAACTGTTAGGCCTTGACTGACTTTAATGTTCCTGATGCCTCTTAGATTCTTACTAGTGTTTTGTCGGGCACATCTACTTACGTTGAAGTGCGCTTACTGGAAGCTTGTTGTAGTTTATCTTATGAGGAATAAAGTGGTTTGTTAATTACATTATCAGTGCAAGAGTGGAAGCTACTATGCTCTTTAATTTGCCTGCAGGAATCTTTAGTTATCATAAAGTTTCATCAGCATAGAATTCTCAAATTTCTAGTTTTTATATATCAGGATAACTATGATTCATCAGGTTGGTAATATAATAATCTATGGGGCCAACTGTTTGGCAATTAGCAATGACCTGCTGTTCCAGTGAAAACCATTGCTGTACCAGAAGAAATTGACTTCCTCCTCTAAATGTGTTGTGGTTATATGAACTCAAGCTGATCTTTATTCTTTATCTGAGTGGGGATGTTGATCCTTTGCCACGAGTTGGTTTTGGGAAAAAAAGAGGTGTTGAATCTCTATCCCAACAATCAAATAAATTAATGCTACTTTCTGCTGGTGAGAGAGATTTCTGCCAGCTTCAGTATTGTGGCTTAGTGCTCAATGATTGCATGTGCTGAGAGGATGATATGGTAATGAAGTCAAAGTCTGAGAAACAAGATTGAGATCGCTGGAAATGCTAAGAGCCTAAGATCAATAGCTAAAGATTTATCAAAAGCAAAAGCTTTTCTTTGGAGATCGACTTCTTTGATCAGAACAGGTGTTTTTTTGCATAGATATAAGAAAGCAGAGATATAAACCTGAGAACTCTTGTACTCCATGCATGGAAGCAGAACTGGTTTCATGGAATTATTTGAGACGAGAATCCAGTATTGGGCCACAAAAGGGGAAGAGAAAGAAGCATCAGATTCTATAGTTAGTGGATCAGAGCTTTGAGATGATGGTGATAAGAAAGGCGGCCGCTTTCTTTATGCATCTCCATCGTGAGTTCTCCTTCCCTAATCATCCACCAGTCTGCTGCCTTGCAGATGTGAGAGCCAATGCTGGATTGCTCCTAAACACATTACCGTCTCTCTTCAACTGAATTGGATCTGTGATATCATTCTGAGATCCTTCGAATATGTTCTCCCTGACCAGAATTCCACTAGGAAAAAGTGAATCAGGTGTCGTGAAGCTTTTCTTAAGGTGGCAGGAAAGAATCCATTCAGATTTCTGGGAGAACAGTACTCTGGGGATTAGGGAGCTCGGGTAACTCATATTCTGCACAATAATGACCATGGTTCAGCTGCAAAGTGCCATGACAGCAGCAATAGCAGAGATGAACTCATGGAAGAGGATGATGATGCCCTCATTCCATCACAGTAGACAAGCTCGATCGCCGAGAATGTATATTACACCAAAATGAGTACATAGGTAGGTGGAGGCAGTACAAGCTCTCTGTATTCTTGTTTTGCCTTTAGATTGTGGTGTATGATGGAGGAAGTCAGTGTTCACGTGAATCGAGGGCTCAGATCATGTGAAGGATCCCACAGTTCATGTTATTACAGCATTGCAACAACAAGTTAAATCTTGCCAGCTTGCTTTTGAGATGTTTCTCTGAGTTGAGTCTGGTAAATGGTCCAAAGAGCATTAAATTGAACTTACACAGACGAGTGTTGCTACCCAAAGTTTTCTTTGAGGACGTCTGCAAGCTCTTTGTAGCACTGCTGAAACTTGTGGGCTTCAATAATGGATTAACCGTAGGGGAATGCAGAGATTACAGATAACTAAATCTTCCCACCTTCTATATATCCATGCTTATAAGTACATCAAACCATCTCTCTCTCTCTCCCTCTCTCTCTCTCTGTCTCGTATCTTCCTTCTCTAGTTACTGACTGTACCATGGCTTCTTTGCTGTTCAAGGAAAAGAGAGGAGCTAACTTCTCCTGCGTCTCCCCGGCATCAGCAGCAATATGCACAAGCATAGATCGGCGGTCCATGGTACAGCCGAGCACCGGCAGAGCCATCGACCGCCACACGCCGCATCTGAGAGATCCGCGACGAGTTAAGGCGACTGTTAACTCCATGTCTCAGACCCCCACCAAGCCAAAAACCTGCAACCAGAAGAACGGGAAGAGCTTGGAGAGACCAAGTGATGCGTTCGGTGTGCCAGGCTCTACTCGGTATCTACTGGATGATGAAGCCGATGATGCCTACTTCAATACCATGTTGCCTGATCTGGAACCTGTCCCTCCTCTTATATCCTTGGGGCCACCTTCTCTACGAGCTCTGATGAGAGAAGAACAGAGAAGACCGAGGCCATCTTCTGCTGCCAGAATGCAAGACCAGGTTCTGAACTCATGCAACTTCCTTTACTCTACCGTTCCGCTTAACTTGCTGGAGGTCAAACGTAAATTTAGCATGTCTGCTGCTTAGGTTGTGGTGTTGAGGGTGTCTTTGCACTGCAAGGGCTGCGAAGGGAAGGTCAGGAAGCATATTTCGAGGATGGAAGGTGAGACTCTTAGCGTGACGCTACTAAGTGACCAACACCAACATAGTTTAGCTCTTCTGTGATAATTCGAGTGTGTTGTATTCATCAGAAGAAAGAAATGTGATGATGGTGGTGGTTGTTCTTGGCCAGGGGTGACATCGTACGACATAGACTTCGCGACGAAGAAGGTGACGGTGGTCGGGGACGTGACGCCACTGGGAGTTCTGAGTAGCATCTCTAAGGTGAAGCATGCACAATTCTGGCCATCGCCACCCCGCGCACCGGCTTCCCTGTGACGAGAAAAGGCTGTAAAAAGGAGAATGTAGTGTCTGTAAAAAAGAAGAGAAGATATGTAGCGTGCATCTTCTCGGATGTTTGGTGTAGAGCATGATGAGCTCGTGCGATGGTGGTGCGTCTGGCAAAGAAAGGGATGATAGACTTGATTCATCTCCGTGTCATTTTGGTCATCATGAATCCCATCTGTTCCTTATCCACTAGAGAAAAAGAGAAAACTTGTTGGTCTGCCTGATCACTATAACCAGCATGCATTTAATCTCAAGCTTCATATCCTTGTCTGGAACTCTGAGATATCACAAATCTGTAGTACTTCCGGTAATGTGGCATATCACCTTCACCCCCTACTTCTAATGGCCGATAACTGTGACGAACGAGTGTTTGGAGATGCTTTCTTGCAGGTGAAGCCGTCGAGGCAAGAAACGGGAATTTTGGCTTGTACTCGATGCATTTAAGAAAGCAATAATGGCTGGTGGTACAATGATACGATTCCATCAGCAGCATTCAATTATTTCAGCATGGTACTTGGCGCATCATGTGGCATACTTACCGAATAGCTTCCGAGCATCGGAATCCCAAGTAGCCAACTTGTTTCTTTCTTCTAGAGACACCACAATCCGAAATTTAAATTTCGAACATGTTGCTAATGTCTTCTGTGGGTAATTCTCAGTGAAGCGGAGAGATGTCAGATTGATGCTGTTTTGACATATTAATCTGATCGCTCCGTGGGGTTCTGTTCGACACACAAAAAGAAAGGAGGTAGTACAGCAAGAAATAATGGTTGGAAATGGGGTTGATAAGATTGAAGTCTTTGAGATCCACCAGCTCTTCTGGCTGAGTCAGGTTGTACAGCAGTTGCCGACACTTGGAAATGCCACTCGAGCAACGTAGCCATTCAAGTGCGGCTATTCGGCCACATGAAAGGAAGCAGAAATAGAACTGTTTGGTCATGAGATGATGTAGCAGCACTGTGGGCATTGCATTCTGCATGACACTGTTTCACAGCAACTTCTCTCTGTAACACATTGCTGGACGACAGTGCTTTCAGCTTTATTCACGCACTAAACGGTTCGTTTTCTCAAAGGAGTACTGTATTTGCTGTTCTGGAGGTAAAGTCTATAGTCTGCAATTGAAAGAAGATACTTTTTTTTATTTTAAACAATTATCAAAAACTTCATAAATAAATCAGGGCGAAGAATGACCAAGAAGATTGATTGTACATACCATCTTCGAATTGCCGGCATGAATTGAGGTATCAAGGAAGCAATCACAATCAATAATATCACCGTTCCTCACTTGTTCATGAACTGGAAGCTTAAGCTAAATAGTGAAGCAGAGTCCTGTGGGTCTTAGTAGTATCTCCTACTCAGAAAATCTTATTAATACATCCATCAAATCCCTTATAAATAAATCAATATGCAATACAAGTTTGTTTTGAATTGACAAAGACAGTTGAAAGTTTAGGCGCTTGCCATGCTTGGTGGTGGATGTCAAGGCAGCCTCGGTGATCCTCTTCAAACCGTAGTGCATCTCTTCGTGTTCATCTTCAAGTCATGAAGAGCCCATAGACAAGTGAATCATTGGACAGGCCAACGATAAGGTGACTGGGGTTCACTTGGAAGCACGAGGAAACAGCGAACAGCAGCTATCCAACATTCTCGACAGAGTGAGACGAGAAAATACTATAAGTGCCACACTGGCATAACATTGACATTGACAATGAAGCACCAGGACATTAACATATTTCACTTGTCAAGAACATAGCTCATATTTCAGATGGAAACCAAATGTTTGCAAGTTCAGAACTCTCTAAAATGTAGTCTCTAGTGGATAAACTAATAAAACCACAGCTGGAAAAGAAGAGCTTGGTTTAGGAGAGACCCTATCTTCGTCTAAGCTTTGATTGCATACTTCCTAGTTGGGAAGTACATCTCTTTCTTCTTCTGTCGTTCTGTCTTCAAGGACTCCTGCATCCAGAATGAACCAACATTTCCGTCAATACATACCAGCAAGATGGAAGAACAGATTTATATGGTAGCCGTCAAACTATTGATTACGAAAATGTTCTATCATGGAATGTCACACTATTATCTAGAGAATCATCTACATTAGCATTACAGAAACATAAAAGTGTGGCATATATATCCAATGTAATTATATATGTATGACATGAGATTAATGCAATATTCGTGAAATTACTAGTGAAACGCCGAGTCAATGAATGACTACAAAAGAGTTTGAATACAACTTACTTTTTTGCATTTTAGAACCTACAATATCTGCTGTAAATTTAACAATAAAACCAACATGTCCACAGATCTCCATTTTACTACTTAACTGAGCTTATGGTTCAACGGAAGTAAGGCACCATAAGAGGTTATCCAAAAAATATCTTTTTGGTCATCGAACTTGCTAATCCTAGAAAAACAATCTCACAATAAGCAGCAGAATAGATAAGCCCTCCATTCTTTATAGAGACTCTAACCGTTCTTGCTTCGGCCTCATAAAGTCTCACTTTTAAATTAGCTCTTCATTACAAATGTCAAGATAATATATTAAAAGGAAAACAATGTATAATGCGCAAAAAACTTTTAGTCATCCGACTTTCTATTGCTAGAAAGTCAATCTCCTCAACAAGCAGCAGAAGAGGTATGATGCCCTGGTCACCCTATTATTTTACACAGCATCTCACTGTTCTTGGTTGGGCCGCATAAGTGACTTGCAGGTATCAGCCAGACCTAGTTACTTCTCAAGACCAAAAGAAAGATCCTCTTTACAAACACTTGGATTTGAAACCTACATATTACTCTGGAAAAGACACATTCTAGGAAAGGCAACCACTGTACCCAAATGGACATGACTCTCTTTAGCAGTCACATAACGTTATGAATGTACATGTTATCCCAACATCTTTCTCGATTCTCATGTATTGGAACATGTGGCTCCCCTCAACATCAAGATTTGGATGCAACATCCATGTGGAATCTCACTTATTGCTACCCTCACTATGGTGCGACCAATAACAATGGCAATAATACATTTAAAAAGTCACCATCGAAGTAAAATATACACATCATACAAATTAACACAATGGCAGAGCAGACATATGGTATTAGTCTCCGAATTCTGAAAAAACAGATTTTGATACAGTTCCATATTAAGTTTGGTGTACTTTGAGCCCAGATTAAGCTAGGTTTGAGTTACATCAGGTTTTGTTCTGGTCTATTCTTTGTCCTTTTCAAGAAACCTATGTTCTACCATCATCCTAAGTCCTGATATAGCCATAATTCGAAGCCATATATGGGAATAAAAAAGGATAAGCCATTTGCTCTGTTCGGCCAGCATGAGACCCAACAAGCAAAAGAGAAAAGAATTCAAATATATCGAATGGAAGGAGAGGGGAGTGGGGAAACTTAAATGGAAAGAAATAAGCTACAGTTGCTCATCCCGCTTTATCCGGTTGTCTCAAGAGTTAAAAATGGAGCCCATGCCTCTTATTAAATTAGCCTCTTGTAAACAAAAAGGACAATCACCAAAGCTTAATTCACTCTTACTTTCACTTTTTCCCAACACAAATTATCCGCATTTTCAAACACCATACATGCTAATGGAAATTGGTAAAAGAACAAATGCAACTACTCATCGAAACACAAAACCATACACACACCATAAGCAGCAAGCTTGTAAACTCATGGGATGGACTATCGGTAAACGTTGCACACACTGGAGCACCACGTTTGAACCCACATTACCAATTATACAGAAGCAAACAATACAGAGCGGATGCTAATATGCATATCAGCCATATCAACAAGCAAAACAATGCCTATCTCCCAAAGAAATCATGTAGCTAGCTTTAAAAAGAAGGGTTTTCCTTTGAAACAAGCATTACCTGATGCTTGGTAAGGCGGCGGCGGATGGCGCGAGTCTTCTTGGGCCGGAGGTCCAGCGGGATGTGCTTCTTCTTCTTGTATACCTCCCTCAGCGCCGCCTTCTGCTTCTGTGAGTTGACCGTCAGCACCCGCGCGATCGACAGCCTCACCACCTTACTGCAAGACAAGAGCCGGCAGAGTGAGCGCCCAGGGATGACATGGATCGAAGGAGGCGATGGGGATAGGGTACATCTTGGAGAGCTTGTTGGGGGCACCGCCGGTGACCTTGGCGACGCGGAGGAGGCTGAGCTCGTTCTTGAGGTCCTTGAGCTGGTTATGAAGCTCCGTCCTCGACTTCCCCCGGAGCTCGTGGACCTTAATCCTCGCTGCGACGGAGAATCGGCAGTGAGATCCGACGACAATCCAACGTTTAAAGGGAAACACTTCTTACCCATTGGGAACGGATGTCTTCTTCCTGGGACTCTCCGACCTCGAATGCAGGTGGCGGCGGACGGCACTCAGCGAAGGCCGGAAGGGAGATGCTTCGTTTAAAACCCTAGACGCGTCTACAAACCCTTAGATGGTCATAATGGGCTTATCGGGCCGCCGTTTGGGCGTTACAAGCCAACGGTATCTTATCCCAATTATTCAATCAAACAACGCAAAGACCATATAACTACTATGGTTGACTTGTCAAGAGAGATATTTCAGGAATTATAATAAATAGAAGATGAAATATAAAAAAGTAAATCCACCTCTCAAGAAAAATTCAAAAATAGAGGGGTTTTTTAAATTGAAAATTCATTATTTAGATTATAACAGAATATAATTACCATATCGATGTCTTTGGTGTACTTTTCCACGATGATGATAGAGATCTCTCTTATTCGTACATGGGGTGTGGAAGCAGCTGATAGTAAAGAGATCCCAGCGGAAACATCCTTTTTCCTCCACCCTTTTTCCAAGAAACAACAGAAGAAAATTCCTACCAAGGATTTATTGCAGGATCTCATTCTCCCATTGTTCTTGCTTTCAGCTAAATCTTTAAGTGGACTTATCAGAGTCAACTTTTCAAGCTGAGGTTGTGGACCGCAACCTTCGGAGTCCGTTCCAGGAAATGGCTGCTGCCGCTGCAGCTGATTGTGAACTGACCTGAGGTTGATGTGAGTTGACATGATTGTCGAAGCAACATAAGTTTTCACCGTTAACATAATTACAATCTAACGTTATAATTATTGAATCTCGAATTTTGATGATAAAATTAAATTACAATATAGTCGACGATCATGAAAATATATATTATACTTGAGGATCATTATATTCGAATAAATATATTAATGTTAGAGACGATTACACATTTTTCTCTATCCTTACGGAATCATATCGTATTGAATCTGAAAAACATACCAAGTCAAGATATTGAGATGTATACAAGTGTCAACTAATATTGAATCTGATAAATAAGGGTTGATCACATAATGTTAGGTGCCGGCTATGTGGTATATAGGTATCAGCTACGTGATGTAAGGGTGTCGACTACATGGCAAGTAGGTATCAACCGTATCATTATTCTCTCATGAGATATGTACATTGAATGTTATTGATACATGGATCAACCATACTTAGTTTAGATCCATATGTTCAAAAGGTCTGATATGTACTGGGATGCTTATCTCGTAATTGGCCCACACGAAGATCATGATCAGTTGATTTCTTGATATGGTCCATTTTATGACCAAGTCAGTAACTGATAAAATAATTTTAATAAATAATAATTAACCCTAATTATAATGCTTCTTATAGTCGATTAACGAGGAAGAATATTAAACTGGCCTTGATAACGATGTTTTGAGTTGTGCTTGGAGAAGAATATTTTCTCAATTAATATATTAACAATGTATCACCCAAATCGAATCCAAACCGTTACCAAAATGATCAAATATACGGTCAACTTTTTTTGCTCGGCAGGTTGATCGAGTGTTTGACTTATTCCACTTGACTGAGTCCCGAGCTAGCGTGAGTTTGCACGGACCTATAGAAAGCTGCTTCCGAGGCTATCGTGACCTACCCAATCCAAATCCGAGACTGTCACCGTCACCTCATATGGTCACTCATTGCATCATAGATCAAGTGTTTTAAGATTGAAAAATATATAAATGACTAAAAACAACCGAACCGATTGATCCGACCAGAAAATTACCGATATTAATCATAATATCCTTTGTTTTAAATATATTTGTTTTTTTCTTTCTCAAGGTGATATATATATATATATGAAAACAGTGTTTTCTCAAAGTATATGTTATTAGATCCTTTTTTTCATGACCTCTTTTACTCTTTTATTAACTCCCTTCTTTTTCTTTTTTATTTCAAATAAGTAAAGGTAAATTGAACCTTTATTGGTCCACAACATGACCTTTGCAAGTCATTACCGAAGATGGACACAATATTTTCTTTTCATAGAATTGAGTAATTCTTTCTCTCACAACAGTCAAATTAGCCGTCTGATTACATTCCTTTCAGATATCGAACCTTTTTTGTTTAATTTCTTCGTTATTTTTTTATAATCTTATTATAATTTTTTATCACATTATAACATTTTAGTCATAAAAAAATATCAATTTTGTTGTATAAAAAAGATGCATTTCATGACTATATTTTTATTATAATTTTAAAAATATATTTTATTTTTTAGGATGAATTATTAAAATAAAATTATTACCTTTAAACATTTTTCATAGAGCATCGTTACTTTGAAAATTTTGATGATCTTTTCATAAATAATCACTTTACCCCTCACTCTAGTCGGACTTACTATTATCTCTGTCCTATAATATCGTCTTGCACTATGCTTGTCCACTACCACTATCTCCGAGGACTTATGTTGCCTCTTATCCTCTTTGTCTCTTCGGAACTATCGTTTTTAATTCTCGATCGAGGAAACAGGGGGCATCATCGCTTCCATGAACTTTATTGACCTCGTCGGATCGATTGTACGCAACCCTCCTCCAAGGAAACAAGGAAGCCTTACTGGCTCTATCTTTTTGCTCCTCGCCTGTAGCTCTTGCACGAGGAAGAAGATGACACGAGGAATGTCATTGCCTTCGCAAACCTCGTTATCCCCCATTAAACTCATTGTTGCCTTTGCGCCCCCTTTTTTCTTGTGCGAGGGTCATGATGCATGAGAGCTATCTACCTAGGGTGTATGAGTTCGATAAAGATAAAAAATAAAATAATTTTTAAATGTAATGAGGGATAATCTGTTGGAAATATTTAAAGGTAGGACCTTCCATTGGAATTTCCTCTCTTGTTTTTGTTATTTATATATGTAATATATTGATACGATATTTTAACATTTTATATCCAATGTAAGATCCGATTTATTGATGTCATGGTTAAACCAATAAACAAGCGATCCATATGGTCAAACCGACGACTATGTTCCTATCATGCATTGCCAACACAACAACGCAGCCAGCTTTCCCACCTCCTTCCTCTGACTCGGACTCTGCTCGTTCCTCCCTCCTCTCCTCCCCCTCTACTCTATAAATAGCTGTCTGATTCCCTCTCTGGGGACCCAACTTCGCCTCGTGATCTCCTCTCCCCTCTGCACAACTCACGGCAACACTGGCAGAGGCTCTTGGTCACTGGAGAGGCAAGGGAATGCGGAGCCTTCTCTCATCGTCTCCCTCGCCGCAGGACGGTCCTCAGCTTCACCATCTCCATCGTAATCATCGTCGTCCTGTGGAGCTCTCGCCTTCCCGACAGACGTTCTCGGACAGGATGATGGAGGACAGCATCGCGGCTGCGGAGGAGGTCATCAGCAAGTGGGGTCCAGAAGTGGAAGCCCCCCTCTTCTCTGGCAATGGACGCGCCGAGGCCGACCGATTCCTCCGCGTCGCCTCGGACCTCCACCGCTCCATGCTCTTCTTCACCTCCCCTTCGGCCAACTCTGCAGCCTCCCCGGCCACCCGCTCCGCGGTGCTCTTCCGCGCCCAATCTCTCCTCTCCGCCGCCATGCGCCGCCTCGAGCGTGAGCTCCACCTCCTCCTCTCCGACCATTGCCGCCTCCTCGACTCCCACTGCTCGTCCTCCTCGGACGCCTCCACCATCGAGGACGCCGCCGAGTCCATCACCGAGATGGAAAGCGCCTTGGACGTCGTCATGCGTGATCTTCGAGCGGTCGCCGAGGCTATGATCTCCGCCGGCTACACAAAGGAATGCGTTCGGGTCTACAAGACGGTGAGCAAATCCTTCATCGACAAGTCCATCCGTCGGTTGGGCTTCGAGCGGCTGACGCAGTCGCAGGTCCAGAAGCTCGACGGGTCGGCACTCGAGTCCCGGATCCGAGCTTGGCTCGCCGCCGCCCCGATCGCCTTCAGAATCCTCTTTTCCCGCGAGCGCCTCCTCTGCGACCGCATCTTCGCCGGCTCAGACGCCGTCCGCGAGTCCTGCTTCGCCGACGTCGCTCGCGACGCAGCAGCCGCACTCCTCGCCTTTCCGGAGTCGGCAGCGAGATCGAAGAGATCGCCGGAGAAGCTGTTCCGTATACTGGATCTCTACGACACCCTGGTGGAGCTCTGGCCGGATATCGAGTCGCTGTTCATCTTCGAGTCCACCGCCGCCGTCCGATCGCAGGCGGTCGTCTCCCTCCTCAGGCTAGCGGAGGTGGCACGGTCGACCCTGGCCGACTTCGAGGCGGCTATCGAGAGGGACGCCTCCAGGTCACCAGTTCCCGGCGGCGACGTCCACCCACTCACCCGTTACGTGATGAACTACCTCGTCTTCCTCGCCGACTACGAGCTCGCCCTCGACGACATCTTCGCGGACTTCCCCTTGCAGACCCCGAGCCCCTTGCTGGATTCCTTCTTCGAAGCGGCAGCTGTGGCGACGTCACCCACCTCCTCTCACTCCTCCCCCTCCTCAGCCTCTACCACCATCTCCTTCGAGGGAAGTCCTTGGAGCTCCTCCTCTTCTGCCGCCGCCCGGTCGATTTCGGACCGAATCGCGTGGCTCGTCCTGGTGCTCATCTGCAAGCTCGACGGCAAGGCAGAGCTCTATCGGGAGGCGGCCCTCTCCTACCTCTTCCTGGCGAACAACATCCAGTACATACTGCGGAAGGTGAAGGAGAGCGGGCTGGGCCCCCACCTCGGGGACGAGTGGGTGGCGCGGCACGGGGCAAAGGCGAGGCACTATGCGGCGAGCTACGTGCAGCTAGCGTGGGCGAAGGTAGCGGCGGCGATTCCGGCGGACGTGTCCGGCATGGAGGCGGAGGAGCGGATGCGTGGGATCAACGCGGCGCTGGAGGCGGAGTGCCGGGGGCAAGCAGGGTGGGTGGTGGTCTCAGACGGTGGGTTGAGAGAAGAGGTGAGGGAAGCGGTGGCGGAGATGGTGGTTCCGGCGTACCGAGTGTTCTACGAGAGGTGCCGTCCGATGCTGAGGGACTCCGGCGCCGGGTCCACGGCGGTGGTGCGATTCTCGCCAGAGGACGTCAGCAACCATTTGAACGGGATCTTCAGCGGCTCGACCGGGTCCGGTTCTTCCAGAAACAGAGTGTCCGGTTCGTCTAAAGACTCGAACCGGTCGCAATAGAAGATTGATTCTTTTTCATCATGTAAAAAAAAAGAGATCATATTAAATTTATTATTATTAAAATTAAACTTGTTAAGATATCATAAAAAGATTCATTATATATAAAAAAAATTCATTACATCAAAAGAAAAATCACAAAAGGATAAATCAAAATTTACTATTAATTCTTGAAAGAATTTCTTAGAAAAGAATGATTCATATTACATATAATTAGTATAATATATTTTTGAAGACCATATAAACCTATTAGGTCATAAAATAAAATCTTTATAGCAAACCTTTATCCAACTCACAATAGTCAAGGTGGGCGGAGAGGAGAACATGATAAAAGATGATGAAGACTGATGAGGGTAATAATGGCGACATGATGCGCCACGATGTCAGCCACGCTTGGACGACACTATGCCCGAGGTAGAGGGCAATAATGTTGACTCGATGTGCGCTGACGTCACCCGCTCTCAAACAACGACTTCATCGTTGCCTGACCCCGTACGCTCGGCCGAGGCAGAGGAGGACGACGACTGAGGCTCGCCCATACCCTGCGGCAGTTCGGTTCTCCACGCAACGCCAATAACAATGTCAGATGCCATCAGAGGTACGGTCCTGCTCCTGCAGGCAAGCACATCAGGTAATACTAAACTTACCTATAAATACCCCAGAGTTCTAAACGAATGGGGGAGGAGACAAAAAAAACCCTTCTTCATATGAAATCCTCTCCACATCCACTGACTTGATCGTCGGAGGGGTCGGGCCGAGCCACCGACCCAACCTGTGTGCAGGTACAAGGACGGGGGCGCTTCTTCCCGGCGCTGCGGCAAAGCTGTCCTCCCGACGAGACGTCCCGATCGGACCACTGTAATAGATCGCCAAGACAATCTCGAAGAACGCCACGTAAGATCCCCGTCATTCGGACCCCCAACCAAGTTGCGACGGTCCCGAGGCCATGACATAAAGTTGTTTACGCTAACAAAGATGACGATGATTTCAGCAAATGATTAACATTCAACAAGTCAAATCAGTCAACGATCATTACAGATAATGGAGTACGAACCCTCATAGAGAAACATGGGAGGACAGCTGATGGTTTCTGCAACCTTTTTGCGTGCTCCTTTTCCATGTTGCAGCCGAGAGGGACCTGGAAATGGGACCGGCGTCGCCGGGGGAGCCTTCGACGGCCGGCGCGACACCAGCTCTGGTTTTGTCGAGCTCGGTGGACGAGAAGAGAACGAAGTACGTGAAGCAGGTGTCGGGCAGGCATAACGATACCGAGCTCCATCTCGCGGCGCGACGAGGGGATCTGGCGGCGGTGATGCGGATCCTCCGCGACGTCGGTGCCCAGATGACAGAGACCGAGGAAGGGGCGGAGGTGATGTCGGCGGTGGTCAACGAGACCAACGATTTCCGGGAGACGGCGTTGATGACAGCGGCGGAGAAGGGGCAACTTGGTGTGGTGGCAGAGCTGCTCAAGTACTCGAATAAGGCAAGCATATCGAGGAAGAACAGATCGGGGTTCGATGCTTTTCATGTAGCGGTGAAAGGAGGACATCAAGGTGAAAGCTTATATCTATCGCCCACACAGTCTACTTGTCTTCCTCCTTTATATTACCTTAGAGCTCAACCCAGGGCTTCATTATCGAAGCTAGGACACTGTATTCTGATATCATTTGCTCATGTCACTTCTCAAATCTTCGACTTTATGTGCCCTTTCACTTCCTGACAAGGGAACAAGCGATTGCAATGTTTCTGCAACTTCAAACATGATCCTTTTTGCTTTGCAATTATCCCATAAATCACAAAACCACTCGAACTTTGGTACAGTAGTCGCCACAGAGATAAATTTTAAAGCTTGGACATTGCTTGCTTTATGCTATATGCTATTTGTTTCTGTTAGTGAAATCATGTGTCCATAAATGCACAAGGAATGAAGTCAAATGATGGATAGATTTCTGTAAGCAAGAAGATCACATTGAAATATTAGTGAATCAGTGAGCTTCCAGCTTTCGCTTGAAACTATTTTTGTTCAGTGGCATGCTAAAACTTTACTATCCTGTTTTATACAGACATTGTCCGGTTACTTCTCAGCCATGACCCAACACTCGGCAAGACATTTGGCCCCTCAAATGTAACACCTCTTATATCTGCAGCAGCAAGAGGCCACACCCAAGTGATCAAGCTGCTGCTTGCTCAAAATTTCAGCATGGTTTAGGTGGCCAAACGCAATGGGAAGAATGCTTTGCACTTTGCTGCCAGATCAGGCCATGTAGAGCCATCGAAAGCATTGCTGGAGAAAGATCCACAACTCGATCAAGGACCGACATAAAAGGCCAGACTGCATTGCAAATGGCTGCAAAAGGAACAAGCCATGATGTTATCGAAGCACTTGTGGATGCTGATCCGGCCATAGTTATGTTGCCTGACAAATATGGGAACACAGCCTTACATGTAGCTACCAGAAAAAAACGAGCAGAGGTATATTTTGCAGAGGCTTGGTCAATTATGCAGTTTATCTTGATTCCTGCATCCAATTATTTCTTACTCGAATCTATATGAATGAGCTCTTATGTGATTGTTAAGTGTTTGGATGTTCATCTCATCTCTGTTGTGCTTGGGTTTGCTTGTCATATGATACAACTTATAATGCTTTGCCAAGGTATAGAGGGTTGACTCTGATGACTATCATTTTCCTTTTTTGTAGGAAAATTCACTCTCATGTTAGTTTAGTTTATATTGGTAATGTATCATAGATCATTGAACTAACACCAATAGTGTGCAGAGATGATACAGCAAATTCTGATACGTCTAAGGAACCCCACACCAGCAATGTGAACTAATTCATCTCACCTAACCCCACCCTTTAGAAACTCCTTGATATCTAATTGTTCATGAACTTTACTATTTTTTACCTAATTTTTCTAGTAATTTCAGGTATTCATATGATATTGCAGAAGAGTTACCTCTCTCCGAGGAGTACACATACATCAAAGAGTGTTTGTGTCGCCATGGAGCACTGAGGTCAAAGGAATTAAACCAGCCTCGAGATGAGCTTCGGAAAACTGTGACAGAGATTAAGAAAGACGTCCACACACAGCTTGAGCAGACCAGAAAGACAAACAAGAATGTCTATGGCATCGCAAAGGAGCTAAGGAAACTCCACACTGAGGGCATCAATAATGCCACAAACTCTGTGACTGTGGTCGCTGTGCTCTTTGCGACTGTGGCGTTTGCAGCTATATTCACTGTTCCAGGTGGAAGCGAAGACGACGGCGTTGCCGTGGCTGTTCATGCCGCTTCTTTCAGAATCTTCTTCATCTTCAATGCGATAGCTCTGTTTACATCGCTGGCGGTGGTGGTGGTTCAGATCACTCTCGTGAGGAGAGAGACGAAGTCGGAGCGGAGGGTGGTGGAGGTGATCAACAAGTTGATGTGGTTGGCGTCGGTGTGCACCACAGTTGCGTTTCGGACCTCCACCTACATTGTGTTGGGCCATCGTTTGCAGTGGGCAGCGGCACTGGTTATGTTGATCGGAGGAGTGATAATGGCCGGCGTCCTCGGCTCCATGACTTTGTGGTGAAATCGAAGCGCATTCGTAAGAGCAGGAAGAGGGACAAGTCGTCGAGGAGAAGCGGTTCTGCTTCATGGTATCACACCTCCGACTTCTCGGATTCTGAATTCAATCCAATCGACGCAATTTAAAGATGGATGGGAATTCATTGTATAGGAGAAAAATCTTGATTTATATTCGTTTCCGATACAACTTGTTCTTGAAGGTGGCGATTAGATTTCATTCGGAGTTTACACGTCGACTAAGATTCTTCGACGTCCTTGCAATAGCAATGGAGAATATTTTTTAATTCATTTTATTTCAAGAATCACATTGTAGAATATTTTCTTATGAAAATATTCTAATCATTGGATGTTAATTACATATTATCTTAGCTATATTTAATATATTAATTCTCGCTCTTTAAAAAATTATATTGGTATCTCGTTATGAAAATAAAACATCATTTTTAATATATCAATTCTCGATCTATTATTTAAACGATTGTCATTTTTATCGTTGAAAATATAAAAATAAAAAGTAAATAAATAATTTTAACGTTTCAGTTGATGATGATGAACGATAACGTCGTTAGGGATTTGACTATTATGGATGAGAAGAGTGACAGCAAGAGATTAGAGTCATTCTATATCTGTGTTGACATCGATAAAGTTATCGAGCGACTCTTTTTCATAACTACATCGACATCGATGTCGATACAAAATAGCCCTCAACTCTCGTCAGTGCACTTACCATCAATTATAATATTTTATTTTTATGTTTATGTTAGTAAAACTGACAACGTTAAGATAAATGAATTCGGATGTTTCACTTTCGTAACGATAAGGTTGTCAATATAATTTCTTAAAATATAAAGATCAAAATATTAAAAATAATTAATTATATAAATAATCTATAATTATTATACTAAATAATTTAATATGATGATTTAGTAATTGAAAATCAAATCGAAACTGATAATGTACGGTTTAGTTAGCCGTTACGACGGTTTGTCAGCCCTGGTTCACAAAATTTAGTAACGGGAACCGTGGGCATATGGGAGACATTATTTTCCGGGCCCAACAAACGTTTACCCGTCTCCGCCATCTACCTTGTCATTGGAGATGCTTTGGGACCCGCAAACCAGACACATGACGTGGACAATGATCGTCGCCAGCTCCCGTCCCGGCGATTCCTTCGAGGTGAAGACAGACCACGCGGAACGCGGCGACGTGGGACCCTATAGGTGAAAGGCGTCCCACCTAAACTGGCTGATTGGTTACCCGTTCTCCTACCTCACCTGCTCTTTGTGGTTCGAAGACTCTGTTGCTGCTGCTCCCTCCAATCACAGCAGAGAGAATGCGCACAGGCGAGCCGAGTAAGTACGTGTCTTGTGTTCCTTGCGTGTCACCGATGAGAGCACGACGCGTCGAGTGCGCGTCCCCAAAGGATAGTCGTTGACGCGTCCGTATCCCACCGCGACAGCTTCCGATTTCTCTCTCCCCCTCTCCTAACTTATATACGAGATTGATGGATGCATCGATCGATCGAGATATTTTGCTGCGGACGCTCCTTGGAGAGGCGAAGGGGATAGCGCATCCATTTGGTTTGGTAATGCCTCTCCCTCTGTTTGATGTCGTCGTTGTTAAGATCGTATGGAACCATTTCCGGTGGACGATGTTCCTTCCTCGTTTGTTTCGTTTCTGCATCGTGTGCTAGGGCTTCTTTATTTACCCTGTTCTGTTGATTTCCTCCCTTTGATCTTGATCTTGGCATGTTTTAGTAGCGGAGAGGTCGTGCAGAACCGTAGGGTGACGGATATTCTTGGATCGGATTTGGAATTGCTTAATTAATCGAAAAGTAGGGTTCAGGATTGTGGGGTTATGAATCCTAGATGATCTGCCTCTTCGATTTGTTTGATTTTGTGTAGATGGAAGGCGTTTGTTTATATTATAGATTTAGGGATTGTGCTAGCCCCAACATATTCCTCTTGGGGCGACCCTTTCCCCCTTCGAAAGTCAACGCCTTGTTCGATTCCTATCCTTTCCTCTGGACTGGCCTTCCACTACTAGTTCCCCTCGGTTATGTCTTCTTCTTCGACCGCAAAATTGCAAAGGCTTAATCCCCCCAAGATCGCGATGTCGATCGATTCTCACCAAAAAGATCCGATCTTTGCGCCTCTTTATCGTTCAAAGATGAATGAGTCGCAAGTAAAGAGTCCCCACCTAACAAGTTTGGTACGAACACGTGTCCCACTTTGCGTGACCAAACTCGATTTCGCATAGCACCACCCGCAGAACGCGTCCATTGCGTGTGCTCAAAGCAAAGCACGCGAGCGTTATCTCCGTGTTGTTTATCTAGTGGAATCGATATCTCTCCGATATGTCTATATATTTGATTAGAAGTATCACTACGACATACATCACAGCGAGAGGGCTCGTCATCTGGTAGAATTTGCCTCTCTCTTTTCTGTTCATTCTTTTTGCCTCTCTCGTTGCCGTTGATTAGAATTTGCCGTTTATCCTGTCGAAGAGCAAGATATTGGATCTTTCTTGAGGTTTTCAAAGCCATCTTTTCTGCTTGGTTCAACATGTAAGGGTTTATTTCATCACCCTTTTTCCTTTTTTTTTTGTTCCTTTCACTTTTTTCACTTGTAGCAAATCGCTTGTGTTTGGGAACAATTTTGGCTTGATTTGTCAAAGAAAGCTTAGGATTGAGTAACCAAAAATATTAACAATTTTCATTTACTTTCCTAATTCTTTTTTCGTTTTTTCTTTTTTTCCCTTCATTTCATTTTCAACATGCCATTTTAGTCAGGTCATTGAAGACCTGAAATTTTAACTTACCTAAGAATTCTCTATAAAAAGCACCAAGGTCTATTTTGATTTTCTAAACCCCCAAGATCTTCTTTTCTCAAAAGATCTTAGTCTGTCATGACCGGGGCCTGATAGGCTAACTGGCCTATCAACTTTGTTTGATTTAAACCACTGATCAAAATGCTTAAGCTGAAGTTGATAGTAGTACACTCATCAGACCTATATAAGCCAATATTAATCTTGCCCACTTTCGATGTGGGACTAATCAGGGGTGTTACAATCATCCCCACTCAAAGGCTTGATGTCCTCGTGAAGGCCCAATATAACCCAGATCAGGCCCTAGCATAGTGCATGTGAGGCGTAGCCCAGTGGTGGCTCCACATCGTGACGAGTCCTCTGACTCCGTCTACGGGTAGCCCTTTTCTACTCGAGCCCCCCTCACCATGCCCAAATGCTAGGTCGGCTCTGATACTAAATATCATGACCATTGGACTACCCATAGATGAGGACTGCCCAATGTAGTACCAAATGCTAGGTCGGCTTTGAGTGGGGGTGATTGTAACACTCCTGATTAGTCCCACATCGAAAGTAGGCAAGATTAAGATTGGCTTATAAGGGTCTGATGAGTGTACTATATTAACTTCCGCTTAAGCATTTTGGTTCGTGGTTGAAGGACCAAAATGGAGTTATTGGCCAGTTAACTCATCAGACTTGGGTCGTGACATAGTCCATGTCTCATCTTGGGGTATCTTTTCGACATCACTTGATTTCAGGTTCTTTTCTTTTAATTTTCTGTAGTTTCATTGGAAATGATTGGTTGTGGCAATAGGGTTCAAGAACTTAAATTGTGTTCTTATGCATCATATTGTCATTTGCCTTGTTGGATCATCAAACTGGCAAAAGGAGTTTCTTAGGCTAGGTTATAAGCAATCATTTCAGTGTAGGATTTTCCATCACCTCATGTGTCTGTTTGATTTTTTTTTCTTGACTGCATTATCTGTTTGATAAAAGAGATCTGGAAGAGGATTGTGGTTCATTTCTCAGATCTTACAGCATGCTACTTTACATGACAGACATCATTCTATTTGATCCACACACAAAAAAGAATTTGCTTAGATGTAGAAGAAAGAAATTTTATGACTAGAGGTGGAAGCATATGACCTTTTGACAGGTTTAGGATTGTATATGGGATGGAGTAAATGATTTGCCATCATCAAACTATTATTTTGGTTCAATATCAGGTTCTCATCTGGATAGAAGAAGGTTTGCTAGAGCCAAATGTACATGTTTTCATACTGCTGGCACTCAAGGATGTTGATCAAGATGGTTCTTTTTTCCTTCTTGTATGGTTAATCATCTGTCTTTGAAGTCAAAGATTGTGTCAAACTTGTTCTATCAAATGAAGTATAGTAGTTGCGAAACTTCAGACTTATTCTAACAAATAAAATATGTTAGCTATTGTAAATTAAGCTTTTTTTATTTTTTATTTTAAAGGATATGCTATTAGCAATTGTGCTACCTCTTTAGGTATGTTTTTGCTATTTAGCTAATCCTTGTGGAGTTGGTAGTGTCTTCTCTCAAATTGGTAGCATCAGAACTCTTTATATTTTGGACACATGGCATTATCTGTTTGTATTAACATTTCATCATTAAGTACCCATACACGCCTCTTCTTCCGAGTAATTTGGGTCTAGAGTATATCTTGATCCATTACACGCTGCTTCATGGCTGCTGGTGTTTTCCTATATAGTTTGCATCTAGGGCATTCTTTGGATTAATGTTTGGAATTGTATGAAGATATGATCTCTATCAGCTTGTTAAGAAATGTTTTAGAGATTAATTTTGCTGTACATATCTATTGTTTGTGATCCATCTCAAGAAATCAGCATTAACCATTGTCACATTTCTCTTTCAGCCTTCTTCATTGAAGAGAAAATGGGAGGGGGAAAGGATAAGCATGACGAATCTGATAAAGGATTGTTTTCAAACTTAGCTCATGGGCTTGCTGGACATGGACAGCATGGGGGGTATCCTCCATACCCCGGGGCGTACCCACCACCCGGGGCATACCCTCCACAAGGATATCCTCCCGCACCAGGTGCATATCCTCCGCATGGACATCCTTCTCAGGGATATCCCCCTCAAGGCTATCCACCATCAGGGTATCCTGGATATCCTCCATCAGGCGGATACCCACCTTCGGGATATCCACCTGCCGCTTATCCTGGTCCATCGGCTCCGTCACATCATGGTAAGTTGCCCAACTTTAGTTTCAGGAGATATACTTAAGCTTCTTTAGACAGACCATGTTAAAATCACTATTGCTGAGAACTCATTCCATCACATGGATGGCCAAAGTGTGTGTTCCCTAAACTTGATGATAAATTGTGGACACAGGACATGGATCTAACATGGGAGCGATGCTGGCGGGGGGAGCTGCAGCTGCTGCGGCAGCTTACGGGGTTCACCAATTGTCTCACGGCCATCATCAGATGGGACATGGAATGCACCATGGCTTGGGCCACCATGGCAAGTTCAAGCACCATGGCTTTGGCCACCATGGCAAGTTCAAGCACCATGGCAAGTTCAAGCATGGAAAATTTGGCAAGCACGGCATGTTTGGTGGGAAACACGGCATGTTTGGTGGCAAGTTCAAGAAGTGGAAGTGATCCGTGATTGCCTGAATCCGTATCAATATCTCGCTATTGTTTTTATTTTCTTGCTCTAAATTCTGTCTTATATGCGTCACTCTCGTTTGTGATATGACTGTGTTGGGGATGTGTTATCGGCCTTAGGACATTTTAATCTTTGACATTTGTCTTGTACCTCCTGGTATTTATTATTGGTGCCCGATGATGCTGTTCATAGTGTTCGAAGAGTATACTTCCTATTGCTTCCTTCTACGCTTGGCAAATACATGCACGGTTGATTTTGGCTCGACCACCATAGACCTTTTGCTTGTTGTATGAAAAGCTGTATGGCACTCCCTTTTTCAGATATTATCTAACACGAAATTTACATTAAAAACCTACTCAACATTTTTATTTTCCTCATAAGGCTACTTTTTTTTAAAAAAAATTTATTTTTGACAAAGATGAGATTCGATTTTAGATCTTACGATAAATAAGTTAAAAAAAGTTAGCATGTAAATAGGTTAAGGGTTTACACCTTAAATATGTTTTTACACTGTTACACCTAAGATATTGACTTGGTGAAGATATCAAATTCATTTACAAAAAATTGAATGTTTGAACTTTCAGATATTTACATTTTTATATATAAATGGTTGGGAGTTGGAATCTTAGTTCGATATATTTTTATATCTAAAATATTATTTATTTATCAAAGATTCAGATATATTTAGTTAAGGTTGAAGATTCACATTCTAATATGACATATATAGATGATTTATTAATATTGATTATCTTCAAAATTGATATCCAACACATGATAAAATTAGAACAATTCAGAGAAGATTTATATAATCCTCATAAGTATCAAAGTTCAAAAATAAAAATAAAAACTCGAAAGTCACGTGATAAAATTAGAACAATTCAGAGAAGATTTATATGACCCTCCATAAGTATGAAAGTTCAAAATAAAAATAAAAATTCGGAACCTCCCCCGACAAATGTTTAGATTATATATCAATGTTAGTTGTCTTCAAAACTGATGTCACTCTGAAGACGCCCGATAAAATTGGAAGGACATATAGAGTATTTACATAGCCCTATGTAAGTATGAAAGTTTACAAAAGAGTTGCATCAAGGTTTTCCACGCGCAGCAGTGGCCCGCATGGAAGTTTCAAAAGCTTCAACAAGGGAAAGCAAGGCAATTGAAGCACTGTAACTGTGGCTAAGCATGAGGAGGTTGAAAAAAAGGCATGGTAGTGACCTTCAAGTATCATCTGCTATGGTTTCTCGATACCTTCTGATGACATCCTTGTTAGGTTTCCTGTAGGTTTCTTCTATGTGATTTGCTACAAACATCCAAGTACTTATGAGCTTCTTTATGTTTGGGACGTTGTAGTTCTGGGCTATGTAAATACCACAGCCAGTTTCCAGCAAAAAAGAGAAACTGCTTCTTATCAGCCCCATCGTAGACTGCTCTCTGTTACCCAAATTCAAAATGAATGCTAATATCCCTGCAAAGGATAAAGAAGAAAGAGTCATTCAAATTCAAAAATACATAACTTTGATGCAAGGAGAAAGAAATGCCTTAATACATGAAAGTATAACCTTGAGAAGCAGCATAAACCGGACAACCGACTATGGTGGTGGCAGCAATGCCTAATGATTGACCATCTCACATCAGGTGCTGTGAATTTCGCTCCTTTCGGTGCACGTGCTTACACACACGACAAGTAAAATGTGCCTAAGACAATTGTGAAATTTATTAAAGAAAGGCATTTATCAGAAACAAGTTAAGTTTCAGTGCAGGATGAAAGATAGCGTCAGCTTGCAATCATGCAGATTTTGACTATCTGACACAGGAATTTCTCCCTAATAACTTCTCTATGATAATAAAAACAAAGTTGCTAAACAACATCAAAATAAGTCAATTGGTCCCCAAATATGACAGACCTATGCATCTACTGATTACCAAAACAAAGTTTTCTAAAACTTGGATGAACCTTAAAGTTGGGCTGCTACATTGAGCTCCACCATTGTTTTATCAGGGACGTCATCCTTCCTCCACACCCTCTTTTTCTTCTAGTTTCCTCTTCTTCATTAATATCTTTAAGAAACATAGTCTCGGTCTAAACCTTGCAACGGCAGTGACCAAAATCCCAATAACACAATTCAGTCCTTTCTCAGAAGATCAATATTTTTTACCTTCTAAATAGAAAATTTCTTTCATCAAGATAGCAATTACACAAAGTAAAAGAACTATAATGAGATGTTGAGAGCAAATGTTCATCTCTGAAAATTCCCCAACACTTGACGAGCTTCAGAAGTTAAAACTGGCTTCATTATGGAATTCTCTCACCTAATAATAAAAAAACATAAATAATTTTGCAAGTGGTCACCTAGACCCAGAGGACAAGACATATATTAACACATCAATGGCACACATCGAATACAGAAATGGTGGAGCACAATTATAATTCTGAATACATTAAAACCGATATGAGATGAATGTTGGCACTTTTCCTATACTGTACTAAAATCTTTAATTTTGAAAATTTTCAGTTTTTGTAAATGTAGCCTGGATCTCTTCCAGGCTTCATTGATCTTATTGAAGATCTTCATTTTTCAGAAGTATATTTCCAGCACCCGTATTGTACTTTCACATTTTGCCATCAAGAGTTGATGTATTATCATTTGAATCATTTTCAAAGACATACAAATAAAAGTAAGTTCTGATTTTAAGTTCATTCCATCTTTGCAGTAACGAGTTAAAAAGTTTGAGCAATTAAGAATCTAGCAATATTTGAAATCCTAATAAATTAGGTCACTAAATGATTCACATGTATGATGGCTCTGTAGACACAGGTGAACTGTGATTTAATGCTTCTTGTATTTTAGTCTTTCATATCTTTCTTATTTATAAATTATTGAAGTTGTTAAAGCTTAAGTTTGTACAAAATATGGATCACGATGTAGTGTAAGTGGGAGTTCCTAATTTCCTACAGAACAAGAATGATTGAATAGATGAATCTTTGTTTCAGGTGTGAGGTTCCTCTTATTATACCAAATAGGCAGTAGTCCTCCTAACATTTAGCTTCCTCTTACCTTAGTGTTACAGCCCCAGACACAGTGCATGACCATGAATTGTCATAGCACTGTGACGCCACAACAAAGACCAGTGGCTTTGGAAAGAGAATAGCTCGACTGGAAATCAACACAGCAGAGGCTATAATACCAAAGGCAGATGCGATGCGACGACGATGGCTGTCACTTCACATATTGCACCTCTCTTTTCTATTTCTTCTATGTGCCATTACTCTCGCACATTTATCCTGTCGAAGAACAAGATATTGGATTTTTCTTGAGGTTTTCAAAGCCATCTTTTCTGCTTGGTTCAACATGTAAGGGTTTATTTCATCACCTTTTTTCCCTTTTTTTTTTTCGTTCCTTTCACTTTTTTTCACTTATAGCAAATTGCTTCTCTGTTTGGGAACGATTTTGGCTTGATTTGTCAAAGAAAGCTTAGGATTGAGTAACCAAAAATATTAACATTTTTCATTTACTTTCCTAACTCTTTTTTCGTTTTTTCTTCTTTTTCCTTTTTTCCCCTTTCCTTCATCTGATTTTCGACATGCCATTTTAGTCGGGTCATTGAAGACCTGAAATTTTAACTTAACCTGAGAATTCTTTATAAAAAGCACCAAGATCTCTTTTGATTTTCCAAACCCCAAGATCTTCTTTTCTCAAAAGATCTTAGTCCCGGTCTCAACTTGGGGTATCTTTTTGACACCACTTGATTTCAGGTTATTCTTTTCTTTAATTTTCTGTATTTTCATTGGAAATGATTGGTTGGGGCAATAGGGTTCAAGAACTTAAATTGTGTTCTTATGCATCATACTGTCATTTGCCTTCTTGGATTATCAAACTGGCAAAAGGAGTTTTCTTAGGCTACGTTATAAGCAACCAGTTCAATATAGGATTTTCCATTGGCTCATGTGTCTGTTTGACTCTTTTTTTCTTGATTGCATTATCTGTTTGATAAAAGAGATCTGGAAGAGGATTGTGGTTCATTTCTCAGATCTTACAGCATGCTATTTTACATGATAGACATCGTTCTATTTGATCCACACACAAAAAAGAATTTGCTTAGATGTAGAAGAAAGAAATTTTATGACTAGCGGAGGCAGCATATGACCTTCTGAAAGGTTTAAGATTGCATGTGGGATGGAGTAAATAGTTTGCCATCATCGAACTATTATTTCTGTTCCATAACAGGTTCTAAAAACATCTGGATAGAAGAAGGTTTGCTAGAGCTAAATGTACATGTTTTCATACTGCTGGCACTCAAGGATGTTGATCAAGATAATTCTTTTTTCCTTCTTGTACGGTTAATCATCTATGTCTTTGAAATCAAAGATTTTGTCAAACGTTTTCTATCAAATGAAATAGAGTAGTCATGAAACAATGTACTCCCTGTGGTAGCATCAGAACTCCAAATCAGTGGATTCCCTTGTGCATATCTGTATTGTTTGTGATCCCAAGGTAGATAGAGCAATAATGTGGAATCAGCATTAACCATTGTCATATTTTTCTTTCAGCAATCTTCATCAAAGAGAAAATGGAAGGGGGAAAGGATAAGCATGACGAATCTGATAAAGGATTGTTTTCGAACTTAGCGCATGGACTTATTGGAGGACATGGAAACCATGGGGGATATCCTCCACCACCCGGGGCATACCCACCTCCTGGGGCATACGCTCCACACGGATATCCTCCCGCACCCGGCACATACCCACCACCTGGGGCATATGCACCACATGGATATCCTCCCACGTCCAGCACATATCCTCCGCATGGCTATCCTCATCAGGGATATCCACCTCATGGTTATCCACCTTCGGGATATCTACCTACCGCTTACCCTGGTCCATCGGCTCCGTCACATCATGGTAAGTACCACATCTTTAGTTTCAGGCAATATGCTTAAACTGCTTTAGACAGACCATGCTAAAATGATTAGTGCTGTATTACGAGAAGACCAATTGCTTGGATGACCAAAATATGCATGTTCCCTAAACTCGATAATAAATTGTGGACACAGGACATGGATCTAAAATGGGAGCGTTGCTGGCGGGTGGAGCTGCTGCTGCTGCAGCAGCTTACGGTGCTTACCAATCGACGCACGGCCATCATCATACGGGACATGGAATGCCCCACTTTGGCCACCATGGCAAGTTCAAGCATGGGATGTTCGGTGGGAAACACGGTAGATTTGGTGGCAAGTTCAGGAAGTGGAAGTGATCCACAATTGCTCGACTCCATCAGACTTATCCATAAATCCATACGGTTTTTATTTTCTTGTTTCTAAGTTCTATCTTATCTGCATCGGTCTCATTTGTGATATGACTGTGTTCGGGCTGTGTTATCGACCTTAGTACATTTTAATCATAGATATTTTTCTTGCACCTGCCAGTGGCATCCGTGCCCAATGATGCCGTTCATAGTGTTGAAGAGTATATTTCTATTGCCTCCTTACGCCTTGCAAATGCATGCACAGTTATGAGCTAAATTTTGATTTGGCTCGACCAACATGGTTAGTTGTATAATAAGCTCTCAGCCACTCACTTGTTTCAGATATTAGCTAAAACAAAAATTACTTGAAAAATATGAGATCCGAGCCTAAGATCTTACAATGATGTATCAGATTCACTTATCAATTGAGGTTTAAAATTTCATCTTTACACTTTAAATAATGATCTAATGGTGATATATCAAACCTTTTGTCTAAAACATCCTCATCCAAATATATTTTTGATCTGATGATGGCATACTTAATCCAATATATCTTTATACCTAAAATATTGATTGGATAGTGGTGTATCAAATCTACTTAAAGGTTGAGAATTAGAAATCTCATCAATTTTATTTAGATGATTTGTCAATGTTGATTGTCTTCAAAATCGATGTTTCTTAAGAGACACCCGATAAAAGATTTACATGAATCCGTGCAAGAATGAAAACTAAAAATAAAAAGAGTTGCATCAAAGGTTTCCACACACGACATATGTTTCAAAAGCTTCAATAAGGAAAAGAGCAAATAAAGAACTGTACCAGTAACTGTGGTTAAGCATGAGAGAGTTTCTTTGTGTTTGGGACGTTGTAGCTCTGGGCGCTGTAAATACCACAGCCAGTTCCTAGCAAAAAAGAGAAACTGCTTCTTATTATCCCCATCTTAGACTGCTCTGTTATCCAAATTCAAAATGAACGTTAATATCCCTACAAAGGAGCGAGGAGAAAGTGTCATTCAAATTCAAAAAGAATGTTAACAACCCTAACAGAGAAGCAAGAAGAAAGAAATGCCATAATACTTGAAAGTATAACTTTGAGAACCAGCATATACCTGACAACCGAGTATGGTGGTGGCTGCGATGCCCAACAATGATGGTCTTGGATTAGGTGCTGTGACTTTCACTCCTTTTCGTGCACGTGCTTATGACGAGTTAAATGTGTCTAACAATTGTGAAAATAATTTTTTTTTTAAAAGGACATTTATCAAAACAAATTCAAAAGTTCTAGTGAAGGCTGAAAGAGAGTGTCAGCTTTGCAATTGAGTAGATTTGATTATCTTACGCAGAAATTTCTCCCTAATAACTTCTGTATGATACAAAAAACGAAGTTGCTAAACAACATCAAACTAAGTCAATTGGTCCCCAAATATGAGAGACATATGCATCTACAGAGTACTAAAACAAAGTTTTCTAAAACTTGGATGAACCTTAAAGTTGGGCTGCTACATTGATCTCCACCATTGTTTCATCAGGGAGGTTTTTCAGATGGTCATCCTTCCTCCACACCCTCTTTTTCCTCAAGTTTCCTCTTCTCTATTATTATCTTTAAGAAACAGTCTCAGTCTAAACCTTGCAATAGTAGTGACCAAAAACCCAATAACGCAATTCAGTCCTTTCTCAAAAAATCAATATTTTCACATTGACCTTCTAAATAGCAAATTTCTTTCATCTAGATATCAATTATACCAAGTAAAAGAACTTCGATGAGATGTTGAAAGCAAATGATAATTTGAGAGAATTCGCCAATGCTTGACCAGCTTCAGAAATTAAAACTGGCTTCATTATGGCATTCTCTCACCTAATGAGAAAAAACATTGGTGACTTAGACTCAGAGGAGAAGACATATATTAACATGTCAATGACATGCATCAAGTACAGATATGATGGAGCACAATTATAATTCTGAATAGATTGAAACCAAGATGACAACTGAGGAAACTTAAAGGATGTCTTTGATCTCATGAGAACTCAGCTTCCACTTTTCTTTATAAATTTGGATTTTGGATTGATGCATAACTTACCATGTCATAAGTAGAAGGTCTTGTGAAACAAATGAAGCCTATCATGAGTTTCTTAATCCTTTGGACGATTTCCTATTCACTTACAAATGTCACTTGTCATCATCCTAGCAAAAATTTTAATTTGCTGACTTAACAGACGTGTCACTGTTGTCATCCTACAGTGTAGAAATTTCAATTAACATTCAACAAATTGTCTCATTTATGAAATAAACAATCCTTTTTCCATCTGCTATATTATCGGAGCAATATGAGATGAATGTTTGTACTTTTCCTATCCTCTACTAAATTGTAAATTTCTTCAGCTTTTGTAACAATATCCGATCTTTGAAGCTTCATTGATCTTATGGAATATCTGCATTTTTCAAAAGTCTTTTTCGAGCTCGCTGTACTTTTACAGTTTTCCATCAAAGACTGACACATTATCTTTGAAATCTTCAAAGACATACAAATAAAAGTGAATTTTGATTTTAAGTTCATTCCATCTTTACATTAATGAATTAGTAAGATACAACATCTCTTTAATATAGGAAGGAGGCTTAGGAAGGCTATATTTTTTTTTTCTGAAGACTCAAATAACAAGTTGTCCCACCCACTATTTTGTGTAAGTTTTTCAGTTCTTAGCAAGGATTTAAATTGCTAATACTTGGACCAAGTGCTTGAATGTCATCATCGGTTAAGTAAAATATCATATATAAGGAATATTGTCAGATCCAACAAGGAAGAAAGACAAAGAAAATCCAAGCATTCATCTCGCTCGAGCAGGGGTGGTCCGCCGGCAGGGAGACGACGCTAGTGGTCCTTCTCGCTCGAGCAAGATGGGGAAGCGAGGAGGAGAGGTCGCTGGCTAGGGGGGCAGCGGCGGCGTTGGTCGATCGGCCGGGAAGCAGCGCTGGCAGTGGGAAGGAGGCAGCAAAGGTCGCTATAGGGCGCGGCCTGCCGGAGAGCAGGGCCGACGGTGGGGAAGAAGGGAAGCAGGGAACCCTTCTCGGTGGCCGCCGAGGTAACAACACTTTCTTCCTTTTTTTTTTTTGTTGGATAGTTACGTTGCAGCGAGAACACCAAGGATCGCTGCTCTGATACCAAATGATAAGACCCTAAAGTCTTATCGTAAAAAAGAAGAAGAGAAAGGAAGAAGAGAAAGGGATGATCACTTCGAGGGGATCGGCCTCCTTGATCGCTTTGAGGGGATCGCCCCTCCTTGATCGCTTCGAGGGGATCGGTCACCTAGGGTTTGTCAAAAGACAGAATAGTATTTTTCATAGATAACTAAAAAGAAGCAATTACATCCCTATTTATTTACTATCATGACTCCATGACCTACGAGGAGCAAGTTCAATGACACCCGAGACAACTACTTAATTTGGAGATCATATTTCCAGGTTTAAGCAACAAAATTCAAGCCATCAATGAGAAGTTCATGAGACACCCTACCTTGTCTTGGAACTGTATTTGACATTCCCAATTGGAACTCTAATTGAAGACACCACAAATCATTTATTAGATTTAACAACGACTTATTTTGAGATCATATTGCTAAGTCTAAGCACCAAAATTCAAGCCACGTTCCTTGTCCTGGAACTTTGTTTGGCATCCCCAATTGGGACTCTATGACATAATTGAAGACTCGCCACAAAAATCATATATCAGATTTGTCAAATCTTACAAATTTTCAGCAGACAACGGAGTCAATGGAATAGATTTCAAGTATAACTGAGGACAATGTGAAGCCAAAAAGAGCATGAATCCACGAAGAACAAACCCTACGCGGAAGAACACCTAACGATCCCAGGGTGCCAAGAATTTAAAGGGAAGGCGAGCCCCGGAACCTTTACATTTACGCCTCAATGGGGAGAAGACGCTCGTAAATGAACGCAGAACCCTGATCGATTCGGCAAAAGAAAACAAAATTACTAGGGTTGTGTCTGTTCTGCTGCAGAGATCAGGTTCTGCTCCTTATTCTGTTCTTCCCCAAACCAGATAATGATCTTACCACAGGATAAACGAAACGACACCAGAAATTTAGAGGTTCGATAGAAAACAAATCTCACCGGATCGTCGCAGCCCTCGAGACGGAGCCGCGACCGACGACAGCAGAGAGAGAAAGAGAGAGAGATGTTTCCAGATCCACCGCCAAGCATGAACGCCGCCGGCGCCGCCTCGTCGGATTGCGTTCCATGCGAGTTGGGTCGGGACTACTTGGAGCACCGTAACGATGAACGGCCCTGCGAACCCGATCTGGAGCTCAGCATCCCGACGCGAATCTCGACGTCCACTTCCTTGTCTCGTCCTAAACGGGCGGGCGGCATCCCGGCGAATCACACGACGGCTTGGTAACCTGTCGGATCCGAATCCATCCAAATGTTCTTTGGTTGCCGACTCGCATCGTCGGATCCGAGGTTTTATTCGCTTGGCTGTGTTAAATGTAGAGGACAAAGAAGAAGAACATAAAAAAAAAACAGAAAAAATCTCTAATATTTCGGAGAGTGGCAATTCGGAAGAGAATCCTATCATCTATAGTTTTCCTTCTTATTTATTAGGATTATTGTTTTGATCCAATATTACATGTATCACGTAACAAAATTTTCGATAAATTTAACCACTTATCTTATATATATATATATATATATATTACGACACTTCAATCTTAACCGCCTCGAGTACGACAGCCCAACAATAGTGTCTGGAATAGGGTCTATTATAATATACCTAAATAAGACGCAAGCATTCTACGCTGTACGGAAACTGCAAAGCACAACATACATAGATAGCATCAAACAACTAATTTTATGCTTCAAGCGATAATTACAGGACACCGTAGACAGTAAACCCCATTCAACAACATCAAACGAACTCATGCATACAACCACTCGGATGAAGTTTTGTCCCAAAAAGGAAAGAATAAGAAACAGAATGCATAGAGAAGCCATCTCTCTCATCTTCTCCACTCGGGTGTCTCTCCCTGCATACAGCTAATCTATCTATTACCCCACTCTGCTGGATTATGGCATCAGATCTCTCGTACTGCTCGCATCGACTCTTGAACGCGCGCTCCCGCGACCTCAGATCTCTCTGTTGAACACATAAACGTACCTCGTTGCATCATCGATCTCCTTAACGCGCGCGCTGACGTCGGATCTCTCGCTCGGACTCATGAACGTGCCTCGGAACCGTGTCGTTCGCATCATCTCTCGAGCTCATGAACGCGCCTTGGAACCGCACCGTAACGTCGTTCGTGCCTCCAGCTGTGTGCGTCTTCAGCGAGGGAGACTGTGGTTTGCTATGTTCATCTTCCCTCGTATATAACATGCGTCCTTATCTTCTCGAGCCAATTAATCGTCGATGCTACGCCACTCTCTCGATGCTGGCGTCATCTCGTTCTCCTACATTATGACGTGGATTTGTCTTCTGTTCCAAGTTAACTGACACGTAGAAACGTCAGGAGGCGATCCGCTACGGCCTCGTAGACGTTACTCCCACCGATCTACTACCACGTAACGAGGTCGGTGGTCGAGGAGGGACAGGTGTCGAGTGGAGCGCGGGGATTGGATGGAGGTGCTTCCTGTGAAGATTACACCGGATCCAGGGGAGGAGAGCGGTGACGGAGTCGGTGTCGGTCGGATCCTGCGGCGGGTGATCATAGCGATACCACGGGAACGCGGACAAACGATGAATCTTTGTAGGCGACGTCGCGTTTTGCACACCTACTAATTATCTTGTTTATGCTAAGCCATTAAATTATAATGTTATTAGAAAAAAAGCTTGAGCGATTAAGAATCTAACAATATGATGGCTCCGTAGACAAGTGAACTGTGATTTAACGTTTCTTGTATTTTAGTCTTTCATACCTTTCTTATTTATAAATTATTGAACTTGTTAAAGCTTAACTTTGTACAAAATAGGATGTAGTATAAGGTGAGAGTTCCTGATTTCCTACAGAACAAGAACGAATGAATAAATGGATCGTTGTTTCAGGTGTGAGGTTCCTCTTATTATACCGAATAGGCACTAGTCATCCTAACATTTAGCTTCCTCTTACCTTCGTGTTACAGCCCCAGACACCGTGCGTGACCATGAATTGTCACAGCACTGTGACGCCGCTACGAAAGACCAGTGGCATTGGAGTGAGAATAGCTCGACCGGGAATCAACACAACCGAGGCTATGATACCGTAGGCACATGCGATGCGACGACCACTTCACATATCACAGTCCATCACTTCACCTCATTGGAAGATACGTGTTGAGCACAACATGAAACAGAGCAGAACAGAACAACCCACCTACTGTCATCTCTGCGCGACACAGCACCTTCACTGGATCCACAGTGAACCCCAACGAGGAAGGGGCTGAGACGACGGGAAAGCAAAAGCTGCCGCAGTTGCAGGGTCTCCCCCCCATCCATCACATCCTCGACTCTGACACGAGAAAGAAACCACTCATTAGGCGCCATGCGGTTGAGTCTTTTCCCCAGTTGTACACTGGACAAACGTCTCTCTCTCTCTTCTAGTCCTATCATCCCTGTACCCACAAACAAGAAGGTAACAACAAACGATGATGTCTAATCCTTGAAAGGTGGAACTCCCCTCCCCAGCTACTACAAGTCAACATCACGCACAACAGGGACGCATCACAGCTGGAAGCCAGTAACGAAAAGTCCTCCAGCTTTTAAATCAGCTACAGTTCTCGAGCATCAGGTACTGTTGTAGTAGAGTGAATCGGCATTCTTCATAGTAGAAAATGAACGATGCCAGTATTGTTTCAGACGGCGGAAGGGAAGCCGGCATCTAATCTAACCCCACCCAGCATTTCTCTCTCATTATGAGCCAAGACATGGAAGCTTTTCCCTGACCAATGCTCGACCTTAGCTATCACCTGCCTGCAAGTATCCACCATATCGAACTTTATGACTTAATGCAACGAACAGTCTATACCGAGAATGGAGTACCAAACATTTCTGATTGGTGCTACCTAGCACCAACTCGTAATCAGTTTCAGAAATGGTAGCTGGTGCTTGCTGACTGAGGGAACAATACGGGATGGATAATTGGAGGTGGCGGAGCTGGCGGCGGTGGAATCACAGCCGCTGTGGAGGCGCTAGAGAATCCTGATGATGCTGCAGAAGAGACTAATGGCAAGAGAGTTGGACCATGCATTTGCCACGCCCAGTTCGGAAAGACTAGCAAACCCACCTCCTGCCTCTGATCTTTCCCTCTTTCCTGTATAATTCGATGCTGTCCATTAGACCATATCAGCATGAATTCAACAATTGAAGCATAACAAATTATTTCATGGACATATGAACACCGATGCAGTAGTGGGAGCCTCGGACGTTCACTCTTTTTATCAAAAACCCAAGCGCGATACTGAAGTTGGTCAATAATGCATTTATTATTGTCAAATTGATGCTGATTGCTGAAGAAAGTAAATGAAATGAAAATGACTTTGTTGCTTAGCATATAGCTTATAAAACAGTTGATTATGTAAACAAACTTCTACTTTCTTGCAATGCACTTGGATGTCTCGTGTACACTAAAACCAGGCAAGAAATATGTGGTTGATTGTCCTAAGAGATCTTCTGAATATATAAACTATTTCCCTTTTATCTCCAACTCCATCAGTTTCTGACATAATAATTCTTTTGCCAGTAATTATTGACCATCGTACCAATTTTTTTTTTTTCTTGTTAAGAGATGCGACTTCAAAAGGACTTAATCATAAGAAAATCATAGTTGGAGCTAAAGTATTACTGTCACAATAGTGGAATGGGGGAGATCAGTTAGAAGGTCATTAGTATGAGAGGAAAACATTTACAGCAACTGGCACATTTAAGAACATTCAGAATATGCCTGATATCTCAACAAAATGATATATATCGAAAAATCTACAAGGTAAAAGACTATTTACCTGAGCATTTCCAGTTTCCATATCTCCAAATAAGCCACAATTGAAATCGGTACTAGTAGAGCTACCATCCCTTTTTGCACTGTCGAGGTTAGGTTGAGAAATCCTCAGGCTTAAATCAACGTCCTTGAAGCCAACTATCACGAACATAAGTTTATGAAAAGATTACTCAGAAACAACTAAATGCATAAAGAACATAATTTAGGATAGACAGGAAAACACAAGAATATTTCATAATGATACCTTCATTTTCAGGCTCAAAAAGTATCTCATCTTGATAGAGGCTTGGCTCAAAATTGGTGATAGCTACCCTTCCATTACATTTAATTGCAGCCTTGTCATATGCCCTAACAATCAAAGAAAAATAAAAGTTTTTGACTGTTTTTGTTAACCCTTTAATGTAAACATTTGTATCAGAATATGGTTATAAGCAATCAGAAATTAGACCTTGCAGCCTCTATTTCGCTGTCGAATAAACCAAGATAAATATACCTGTACAAGATAAAGAAAAAAAAAATCATGTTTTCAAATGTAAACATGGACTTTAGTCTTATAATTCAAGAAGCCAGAAAGGTTTAGGAGATGATGACCTTTAGTTTTACATTTACGTTTAATGGCGATCTAATGTTCCATGCGCTTTTTTAGTGGTATTTATGTGCTATCTAAGAATTTGATTTGGGAATAAGAATTTGTATGTCTAACATACTTGTGTTTCACTTCTTAAACCCTGCATTTTTTTCCTATTACTTCTCTGCATTAATAACTGTTCCATTCACATTTCACTATAGTCGCATATGAATACATAACTTGCATTAAATCCTCAAACTGTCATTGGGTTCAAATACACAAACCACCTAGTTGAGATTAGATTGCATGGATAGAAAACATAAGCTTATTTGAGATCCAACTCGAGAATGAAGCAAGAAAATTAGAGAAGCTACGACATCATACTTTTTGCCAAGGAACTGTCCCATGCGAGCCTCCCAACGGCCACACTTGTGTAGTGTCACGCCTCTGTACTTGGAGCTTCCTCTTGCAAACCCAGTACTTTGACGACGAAGTATATGCACAAATTCTTCCTTTGATAGATTCCTCATCTGAAATCAAATAACATATTCACTGTAGCTTGCTTAAATTTAATGTCAGTTCTACACACTTGCAAAGAAAGATGGAGGCCTGTCAGTCCCACACATAAATGTGATGTCACATTGATGTTCATACAGACATGTCTTTCTGTTTCTAGGATTACCTGCTTCAAATCCTCGTCATAATCACTGAGACTAAAGTTAATGTCAGCACCAAGTCCCCGAAATTTGATTGCAGCACGATCATATGCTCTGCAATCCATTTCAGAGACAACATAACAGTTCCCAAACGATGAACTACTGGAATAGTACATATACTCCACGACCAAAGCACTAATGGGGGATGGAGCAAAAGAAATCAAACCTTGCAGCAGCATGAGCAGTATCGAAGCCTCCTGAAGTTTCCATCGAAACAGAGCAAAAGAGTTAAAAACCCCAAACATATCGAATTAGAAATCTTTCCCCTGTTCAAGCAAAGAGAGATCGATTCTTACCCAAATAGACTTGCTTTCCACAATCCCTGGGCAAGGTTAAGGGAGAAAGGGGCACATCCCATTAAGTTAGAACATTACATAAATAACAAGGGGCAGGAGAAAGAACTCGCTAACCAGATGTGGGACTCCCATCTCCCGGTTCTCCTGTAGAAGGTGACGCCGCGATACTGCGAACTCCGAGACCTTGGGCCTCGCCTGCTCTTCTTCACCTGCTGCTGCTGCTGCAGATGACATAAAGCCTTCCCCCCCGTCGCCTCCACCGCACCGCCCACCATCCCCTTTCCGAAACTGAGATCGGCCCAGCCCAAGGACGAGCAAGAGGCCGCAGCCACCGGAGGCTGGAATGTCACCGCCTCCGCCGTAGGGAACAGCTGCTGCGTGACGATGCCCGGTTCCGGCCAGACACCACTCTCCTCCTCGATCTCATCGTCATAATCATCAAAAACCGGCTCGGTGGGGTGCCTAAAGATGCCGAAGCGGCAGGTGGCGGCGCCGTTCGTGGAGCGCGTGCCCTCTTCTCCGTTGGCGGCGGTTGCTTCGTTGATGGACGCCTCAGAGGAGTTGGAAGCCGCAATGAACGACTCTCCGGGAGAGACCACATTAAGATCAAACCCCATCTTCGTCTCCAGAGACACCGATGGGCACTTGGCCAAAGTCCGAAGAGAGCCAACAGATTGCACCAATCCGAGAGGAGTCAGAGGGAAGCGAGGAGTAAACTTCGGAGGATGAATTCGCCGTCGGAGGAGATTCGATCCATCTGGAGGGAGACGGATTGGTGGAAGGCAGAGGGAGTGAGATGGAGACGAGACGGGAGTGACGAGCAGTGGAAGGAGAATGCACGCAAGAGGCATGTATATTATAGTATTATCAGGACCAATAGAGCTATTGATGATCCGTCTCTTGTCCTTATCGAATCACATAGCGGGGGAGTACGCCGCAGGTGAGATATGCCGAATCTTTCGGTCACGTGCTCGCGTCCTCTGTGCAAACGCTGGCAAACTACTGTTATTTAGAACGCAATGCCTGCAATTAGATACCAACTGAAACGTAATCTATGTATTCAAGAACAAATAACTATTATTATTTCTTGATCTCTTCAACTATGACGAACAACAATTAATTCTTTGGCAATAAAAAAAAAAACATAGATTAAAGTTTGCTGATGAAAGCAGGAAAATTTAATCTAGTTATTTTCACCCAGAGCCAAAACTTGCCAAAGGATTCAAAATAGATTGCCTGCAGTTCCATTGTTGACGGAAAAAGCCTGAAAACTTCAAATTTATTAAAGGAACAAAAAATTCACTGGAATGCCAGGACATGGTAAGCATGTAATAGCTTATCAATTCAATCAGTAACAACTGTCAAAACAAATACAACGTTAACACCATTCATAAAAGATTCTAAAACACCAATATTTCGAAACAGTGAAAAGATTGGTTCTACCTTTTCCGTCCTTATGTTCTGTCATCCTTGTATTTGTCACTGAAAGAATTGATGTGGACTGCACTGTATGCTTTAATCTTGTGTGGTCGATGCAACAGTGAGATAGACTGACCCGTCAATCATTCATCTAAAATATATACTAAGTCCACGTGGACCCTCATCCCTGCTTGATCCCTGTGGATCGCCAATCATTCATCTAAAATATATACATCAATATATCCAAGTCAATCATTCATCTAAAATATATACATAAATCCTTCCACTAAACGCTTATGATTTAAATAGGATGATCCATATCACTTGAAGATTGCCACGATTATGCTCCATCATCAGAAAAATCAATGACTAGTTTTTCTGGCCATAAAATAGAAGTATCGATAGTTCTAATCTATATCTGTTAATAATATGCAGCATAACAAAAGAGAGCCAGGGAAGCAATACCCCTTGCAACGTGTTCCTCAAAGAAACATGTGAATAGCACTCCACAAACAAGAAATTAATGTGGGATATGAGAACAAAAACTTATTATTATTGGAAGCTAGATGCATTCTCGAATTCTTTTTGACTTCTTTCAGACTAATGAAACCATCTCAAGTTGCTAACTCATAAACCAGCAAAATACTCGAACTCAATCGAGTCATACCCAAAAGAATATAACAGAGATAATTTTTTCTATCCAGATCCCTGCCACAGAAATCACCTATAGATATGTTTACACTCGATCGGTTTTCCTGTTTACACTCGATGAATAGAGAAGAAACTGAGAAAAAAAAGAAGAAGAAGGATTTATCCATCTTTACCGAGGTAATTGACATCAGTTGATTCTGCATATCATAGATAGTGATCATCCTTGTCAATTCACAAAAGAAATTTTGGCAAGCAATGACCCTATCACCTTCATTATTGACCCCCCTAATCGTAGCTCGTTACTTGACTGCTTGGTCAACACAAGAGGCAGGACCCACACGATGTGGCAGCCACCTAAGTGCAGCAACAATGGTGAACATAGAAGAGAATATTCTGTCATACCACATAATATTCTTTTGGGTCTGGCCTGCTACAAAGTCCATTAATTTACTATACCAACATCAATTACTATTCACTCATGACTCTACTTTCCATCTCAATCCTAACTTCTTCGACTCTAAAATTCTTACAGGTCGGCTCCTCGATGGATGTTTGAACCATCTTTTTGGTCATCTTTAGACTCTTGTGCACACAGACCAGGATCAATTCGGGCAGACAGAAACATCACTGACAACCACATCATCAACTATCAAGTCCTTAATTTGCAAATCAGCAGCATCTTTGTATCTCTCTTCCCATATATACTACAGCAAAACTCTATTGATTTAAAAAAGTTCATCTAATCTGCAACAAGAATTCCAAGATCAATTCTTGGAACTATAGATTAAATTCAAACATTACTTCCTTAATTTAAATGTATGTTTTTATTTGTCTCCTGGATAACTTGGATAACTATCTAGTAACTTCATTTTCATTGAGCTTTATGCCTAAATCATCAGCCCAAAATACTTAAAGCCCAAGTTGCCAATAGTATACCCACCAAATCCCAATATAATTTAATTCACTTCCGATATGAGGTTAAATCAGAATATTACATTTATCTAAATAGGTCAAAAACTAGTATGCAAATAAAACAGTTTCCACGGCCTACAAGATATTATCACTTCAACAATTTGATCTCTTTTTACTCGTGAAACTTTTCCAGAATTATCATGAACGTCATAACAGTAACAACTCCTTAGTCAAACTTATCTTTGTCTAGTTCTTTTTATTAAAATCTTTCTCTAGTTTCTTACCATGTAGCTCTGTTGGTAGACTTCTAATATTGAGCCTTATCAACCAGACATCAGATACCACATGGAAGTCAAGTATGCACGTTTCCCCAGCCTGCAAGAAATTATTCCATAATTTAAAGTTACCACAAAGCTGTCTTGATGAAAAAAATCTTCCATAAGTATCTAAATCTCAAGAGGAAGGAAGACCAACAGTTCCATTGCACCTTGAGCAAGTTTCATAACCAGCTGGCCAATTCATCACAGCTACTCTTATAAGAAATTCTTTTCTTTTTTTGGTTGTATAGCAGGTATTATTTGCTTGCAACACATGACTGTGTCATTACCCAGAAAAATGCACAAATACACCATTTTCTTTCTTATCAACAACTGCAGTAAATTAGATAAGCAACAATTAAAATACCATCTCCTCTAGCACAAGTTACATGAGTGGGAATTTGAGGCTAATGTAAGTTCATAAAGATGTAGTCATTAAAAATAATGAAGTTTCACAAATTAACGGAAAAGTTAACAATTCGGCCCAGGATGAACTTCAAGACTGCATGATAAATATAAAATGTTGAAAAAATAAAAAATAATGAAATATTATGATCCGTCATGTCCCGCCCAATGGGATAATCATATCACAACCCATCCTAATAGGATAATTATATTCTTAATGTATTGAGTTTGAATCATTAATTCAAAATATTTAAGTCCACACTAATAATAGTACACCTATCCAATGCTTATAGATGAATTCAAATTTTTATCCACTCTTGATGTGTAGTATACTCATGGATGTTAGACACATTTCCTGTGCTCTCTCCTATGGATGTCTTCGCATGAATTCTTTCTAAATGCACTAAAGCATTTATGGTCAACTTGTTTTCTTCTTAAGAGAGAAAAAATGAAGTATAAAAGCAGGCTATATGTGACTTCTGATAAATGTTTACTTATATTCACCTATCAACAGGTGGTTTATGCATTTACTCTATTGATTATTCACATTGTACTTATGGAAGGAATGCCTAGCCAGAAATTTTGAAAGGTCATCACATTTGTTTGACCATTGTAACAATGAAGAAGAAGAGTGTGAACATGTGGATAAGATAATAGTTAGTTAGCAACTGATGCCAAGCACAAAGAATAGATTCAGCAAAGGGATGATAGCTTCCATCGATGAATGCATGAGGGATTTAGAAAAATTGCCAAAACTCGTCTAGTCTGGACCGTTACACAATATAAAATCAGGGGAAACAGCATTACAATTGAGCTCTATGAAATGACAAGATTATAAATCAGCTGTCTAAATGCACTAAAGGATTTATGGTCAACTTGTTTTCTTCTTGAGAGAGCAAAAATGAAGTATAAAATCAGGCTATATGTTACTTCTGATAAATGTTAAGTTTTACTTATATTCACCTATCAACAGGTGGTTTATGTATATTGATTATTCACGTTGTACTTATGGAAGGAATGCCTAACCGGAAATCTTGAAAGGTCATCACATTTGTTTGACCTTTGTAACGATGAAGAAGAAGAGTGTGAACATGTGGATAAGGTAATCATTAGTTTGCAACTGATGCCAACCACAAAGAGTGGATTCAGCAAAGGGATGATAGCTTCCATCGATGATTGATGCTGGGCTTGCATGAGGGATTTAGAAAAATTGCCAAAACTCGTCTAGTCTGGACCATTACACAATATAAAATCAGGGGAAACAGCATTATAATTGAGCTCTACGAAGTGACAAGATTATAAATTAGGGTTCTCCCTCGTCGCTTGGACGACAGATTTAGTCAGATTCAGATTAAATTAATCTGTTCCAACTTTGCCACACCGAGCCAATATCCGTTGTACAAAATAACATCCAAACATGAAGAGACCAGAACTTGAAGAAGATTACCAACAAACCAAACGAAAGGAAACAGAGAAACTGACAAGACTACGATGAGATCTAGGGTTAAGTCGGCATTCGGTGTTAGAAAAAGAAAGCACCGGAAACTATCGATGACTAGAGCAACACGAATTGGTGCAATATCATATCATGGAACGAACATCGCATAAAGCGAATAACTAATTTGTGTCGATAAAAACTCCCAATGAAGTGACAAGATTTCCTTACTAGAGAGACCTCGCCGCCGCAGAGCGACGATACTGTTCTCCAGCTCCAACGTGAACCACGCCATCGCCGCCAGTGATCAGGACGAAGAGGAGGAATCCATGGGCCTCTCTCTCTCTCCGATCGTTAACCGAGGGGCTCCGACCGGAAAAAGAAATTGGCAGTTGGGAACGGGTTGTTGGGTTTCGATCCGAAGTCTAATCTTAAGGAAGAGCACCGAAGGATCCGATAGGAAGTTTATGTTGTTCATGGGCTTGACTCACCAACCCGGTTCAACCTTGCCACTTAATTACTTTTTATTAAAAATACTAAATATTTATATTATATTATGAAACATTGATGTTAAATGATATGGGCAACGTTACGATAGGAACTGGATAATATATTTCTAATTTTCATGGTTCTATATACTTTTTATAGAGATATGTTCTGAATAATACTTTAGCATTCCCAATTTAATAGATAATTGATCAATCATCTTTTATTTATTTTTGGACAAATTGATTTAATCCGCCTATATTTTTCTTATTATCCATATAGGATTAAGGAAGGAACAATATGTGGATGTGGGCAGCGACTTAGTTTAATATTTCATGTGCAAAAAGTTCTTTGCTGTGGTCAAAGTGCCTAGAATGCTTATTTGGTGATTAAGAAGGGCTTGAACGTTTGCTTGATGATCAAAATTAAATGGTCCCTTATTGCTATGGTCTGATAAGTTTTTTATAGTAGATTTAATCAGAAAAATATTCTTTAGCACGGGTAAAATATTTCATCGACATTTTATGTTGGGTTTATGTCCATTTAGGCTTAACAGTTGGTTGAGGCCTTCCTCTTTATACCAATTAAGTTACCATGTGTCAAGCATTAATCGAGGCTAATATTTTTTTATCATGTATACTTTAGGAATTCTCTTGGAGGGATTTGGAAGTGTATTCATATGTTGGCTCAATATATTGGTCACTAGTGCAATAGGCAACCTCTTTTAACTCTTGACTTAGTGAGCACATTAGACACCCTTCGATGCTTAACTCGAGAAGGACGCATTAGGTGTATTTTTTTGTTTAGCCTGAGAAGAATGCATCAAACAATGGAAGAAGAGATGATGTCAACTAAACTATTTTGATGTTTTACATCAAGTATCAAGTAGTGGAGGGGGAAATTATGCTACTTAAACTACTAGAGTAATGCTAATGAGCATATGTCGGGTAGAGTATCTCGACGAATTGGTCAATCCATCCACTTAATATGATAAAAGATGGACATGACTAACCTTATATAGTTGCACTCAGGCGCCTACATTGGGCGATAAAGGAAATGACAATCGATTCACTATAGAGTTATCAACCAATTTGTTATAGAGTAGTCGATATGGCCACATTTGGCAATAGAGGAGATAATGATCGATCCCTACTGTAACGATGTCGAGGAAGCCACATTGGGTAGTCAAAGCTTGTCATCATATGATCCATAATGAAGATGCTGAGAAGCCCACATTGGGCAATGGAAGTCCATCATCAATATGTTGCTCTATTGTGAAATAAGTTGAGTGATGTGAGATGCTACGGTTGACCAACTACAGGGCTACCAAGGGGCTCACATGAGAGAAAAGAGGAAAGTTTCTATATACCTACTATAAGGTCATCGAGGGATCCACATCAAGCGGTGGGGATGCTTAATTTACAATGAAGATGTTGAGTTCCATCTACCCCTTCTCTCAACCTCATCTTTTCGATATGTCAACAGGGTATCAATTAGGGTACTTTGTAGAGGAATAATTGGTATGAAATTCTTTAAGGGTAAACATTTCCGAAGAGCACTCAATCATGGACCCCAATGTGTGGAGTTTGATGAAGGAGAAGATGACTCACATAGAATTTCCATATCTATTATGCTATACGGATTTCAACATTGTTAGCTTCTACTGCAGGGCTGCAAAGAGACCCGCATCAGATAGTGGAAGCTTGTCGTTGTTCAATCTGTAATGGAGATGTCGCGAGGCCCATATCAGGCAATAGAGGTCTTTCATTGCCTAATCTAGCCCACATTAACTCAATCTATAGCTGAGATGCAACGAGGCCCACATCCGATTGAAGTATATTACAACTAGTTTTAGCCCATATCATTACCCAATATCCTATAAGGTGTCAAGACGCCCACATCGGGATGTGGAACAAGCCAAGGTGCTCATCATTGCCCCACCAACCAAGTCATATATAACATCACCAATATATTGAAGTGAAGTTGAGAAGTCTACCTCAAGTGTATTATCGTCTCTACCCAATACTAAAATGGAGCCAAGGGACCTAACTCAAGTGGGCAAGGTGGCCTCCAACTGGTCAATCAACTTTAGTGAACCTCGATCTTGATGGGAAATCTCAAATTGACATCTCATGCGCAGTGCAAAAAATAAAAAAATAAAAAAAAAATTATCAAAGTCAAGTACTTGGTCATTATGCGACGATTGGTGTGCGAGAAAATCGCAAAACTAAATATCACACGTATCATGTAAAAAGTGTTACATAGGGAGATCGTATATATCTGAAATTTCCATATCTGATAGAGAGGATGAAGGAGAACTTGTATACTCCTCTCTAGCGGTGATCCACACGACATATACAACGATGATAATTCTCGTATCGTTGTGAGATCTCCCTCTCCACACGAATCACAAGGCTACTGGAGCCAAGGAGGAGGAGAGGAGACTGAGGAGAATAGGAGAGGCAACCATCAAAAGCTCTAGCCTATGAACTTTGAGATTTGTCATATTTATAAAGGTGCATACAGCTTAACCCTTAATGGATCATGTCATTATTGGGTATTGGATCTCTATCCAATTATCCAGTCTTATTAGATCTCATCCATAGGATGTAAATAGAGGCTCCACATATATCTCATATATGCACCTCTACTAGTCGCAACATCCACCATATATGTCTGACCCGTTAGGCCCAATATCAAGCTGACCGTGAGTCAATCCTGTCAGAACTTCTTTTGACTTAGAATTCCTTCTAATATAGTGAATTATTATCTCTATAATAATTCACTTGACTCATTGATTATGGATATACTAGGCTACTATGCTCACCTAATGGTACAAGAGATCTAATCCATCGGACCTATTTGTCCATAATTACCGTATATCTATATTTTTTTATCCATATAATATCCCAGAGACTATATATTAGACATGATAATGTTAGGCCCATATAGAATCCAGTTCGAATCTTGCTTTAATCGGATTCTCACGAATAACTCTTCTCTTAATCCGAGTGACCTTGGCCTGAGATTTTGTCTGAGCAAGCACATATAAGATATTTCTCTCACGATACCAGGAGTGGATGATCCTTTGTTGATACCCAATTGCCTTCGTAAGGTTGGTTGTCATTCTCGGTAATCGACTATACCAAATCTGAAACTTTAAAACTTGTAAGTCCAGTGTCAAAGAATGTAGTATACAAGATGCATCATTGGTGTCTCAAGTCTAAGAATCAAACACATAATTGGGACCACAGAATCATTATCCGACGTTAGGTATCATTAACTATCTAGCATTCCATAAGCAAATCAATCAGTGAACTCATTCTCTAATTAGCACATGCATTATACCTCTAGTGTCCCCCCATGAGTGATTGTGAGACCAGTTATCTTCATCATATGGACGAGTATATAGCACACTAGTCTGTCCGGTTATCTCGATGTCCCTCTCGAGTAACCTATGATCGGGATGATTTCAGGTCTATGTTTAAAAGCGAATCAGTCTCATTATCGTGATATCATTATGATCTGTTTTCTATTGCACAGATCCAAGAATATCATAATATATACCTAGATAATATATAATATGATAAAATTTTAGTAATAATAAGCAAAGAGATTATCGCAGTGTGTCACAAGTCCCATCACTCACATGATTGGCTTGTAAGACACCCATAACTAACAAATCTACCCTCATTGAGCAGATAATCTTACACTTCAATCAGATTGCAGGCGATCCTAAGCTGCCCACAATGAGTTGCTTACTTTATGTGATCAATCAACTATGGGTGTCCCTGATTTGTCCATAGGGCATATTACTTTGTGATCAACCATAGGGGCTCTCGACTTGCTTTGCATGGTCGATAAACTATGCGTGCTCTCGATTTATCCATATTAGACATATTACTTCGCAATCAACTATAAGTGCTTCCAATCTACCCATATTAGGCAACTTTGTTAGGCCAATTTGCTCACTTATCCATAAATTTGGAGTTACAAACCTTCATATTCACAAAGGATGCGTCGAACATCAAGATATATTTTTACCCATGAAGGGTGTGTTGGATGCTTTGAATGCTTTTGTTTGTAAATGATACGTTATGTGTCAGAGATGCTTATGTCTATGAAAGATGCACTAGAAGTCAAGATACTTTTGTTCGCAAAGGACTCATTAGACGCTTCATATGTTCTTTTTTCATGACAGACACATCATGCATTAGAGATGCTTATGTCTACAAAGGATACATCAGACATTGGGATGCTTTTGTGCATGAAGGATGTATTAGATGCTTTAAATGCTTTTGTTTGTAAAGGGTGCATCGCATGTTAGATACGCTTATATTTGTGAAGGATGTATCAAATATTGAGATGCTTTTATCCGCAAATGATGTATCAAATGCTTTTGATGCTTTTATACATACATGGCATATCACGTGTCAAAGACACTTATGTCTGTGATGGATGTTCATATGCTTTTGTTCATGAAGAACACATTATATGCGTAAGATGCTTTTGTCCGCTTAAGAATGTATCACACAATAGAAATTGAGATGCTTTTGTCGGTGAAGTGGTGCATGAGATGCTTTATATACTTTGTGGTGTTCTAACCATGTTTTGGGTCGAGGGTGGAGCGCATTTGCTATATTACATGTTGAGCAGGTTAATCGATGACGTTCTTATGACATGGGTCCTCATTATAATACCATAATGATAAAAAGGAAGATGACTAAATTATTTTAACTTGAGTCAAGCCCATGCACGCAAGAAGTCCTCTTGCTCGAAGGGACTCAGATGCTTGCTCGATGGCTAAGAATGGTCAAATGCTTGCTTGATGTTTGACCTACATGAAGATCGAGATAAAAAAAGGTCTCTGATGTAGCCCCTCCAATGC